TGCACCAATAAGGATGTGGCATGCTTATTAATTTGTCTGTATTGTTATTTTTTAAAGTAAACAATTTATAGATAAATTTTGTGCTTGTCCAGAATGGTTGTGGATGTGCTCAAGGCCAGGTTGGATGGGCTCTGAGGAACCTGGTCTAGTGGGATATTACACATGGCAGGGGGTTGGAGTGAGGTGGTTTTTAAGGTCCCTTCCAACCCAAACCATTCTGTGGTTCTGTGATCTCAGGCTGGGAAAGGGAGCTGAGATCTCCATGGTGCTCCCTCAGCCACAGGGCTGAATCACTCCAAACACCAGCCAGCTCTCTGTGCTGAGGAGATGGCAGCAGAGAAAGGAGAAATATGAAATGTTCTACTAGAGAAATATGAAATGTTCTCCTAAACACCAGGGGGGAGGTGCAGTAGGAGGCTCACAACTCTGTCCTGTGGCAGCAAACCCCAGGAGGGACACCTGCCCACCCACAAAGCTCCTGAGGGGAGCAAATCCCACCTCATGGAAAACAAGGAGGAAATAGGACAAGGACACACCTCAGTGTCCAGCTGTGCCCACAACAGAGACAACAAAACCCTGCCAGGGATGGTAAATAGTTCCAATATAGAAAGAAGTCAATACACACTAAAAATAACTTATTACATACTGTGTATTTAAATCAACAGTCAAATATACATTGAGATGTGCTTCATGCAAACACCCCGTGGCACTCTGCCATAAAAACCATTTTTTATATACACACACACACACATATAAATGTCACACAGTATTTAAATGCTAAGTCTACCAAATGATTACTTCATTTACTCTTCTTGACAAACAAAACTCTCTGCTGGGAAAAGTCAATGAAGTTACAGCTGAGAACAAAGCCCAGCAAGACACAAACCACAGCAATGCCAGCAGAGGAATACAGCAGAGATGTGATACCAGTTTAATTGGAAAACTTGTGCTTGAGGTGCCACAAAGTGACAAGGGACTGGAGGACAGGTTTTATCCTGAGCACCATGAACATAAAATATTGCTACCAGGCACTGACCTGCCTTGGACCAGAGCTCTGCAGATATTAATGAGAGGGTGGGAGATGCAGTGGTGGAGACAGCATGAAGGAAAAACACCTGGAAAGTGCTAACAAGACATAACAGGGATGAGGGAAGCTGGAAAAATTATAATTTTTTTTCCTGGTTGTTAATGAAGAGAGAAATTTGCAAAGTTACCCTAAGAGAAATGAAGGGAGAGGGAAGTATTTGGCAAGAAGTGCCTTCCCTGAATGTCACAGCTAATTAGTGGTTGTGGGGCTCAGGAAGAATCCTGCTTTTGTGTGAACCCTGAATCCTTGTTCCTCACCCATGGCCAATATCTGTTTTTTGGCTCTTGTTTCTCAGTAAGATCAGCCCACACTGGGAATGACTCTACAGGGGCCAAACACCTCCAGAGTATTTGGTGTCTATTTTATGTCCCCCATCACAGCCAGAGGAAATAGAAAAGCAAGGAGGAAACATCCTTAGCTCCTCACACCTGCAGCTGCCAAAGCAGCTGTGATTTCTGTTACAGCAAAAAAAATTGCTTTCCAATTTCCTTGAGAGATGAACAAGTAACAGTTCTGAATGGAGTTTCACAGCTCCTGTCTGGTTTTTGTGCTTCTCCCTCAACTATTTCCAACCCCAGCTGCCCAATATTGACTGTGACCCAGTGGCCATACAGGTTTTTGGTGTGTGACAGGTAGGCTCACAGCCTACCTGATTCACTACCTGCTCTCTTCTTTCTGCTCCACCAGTGATACCTCAGAGGATTCAGGGGTTTAATGCTCCTGTGATAGGCAATACCCTAATCCTATGCAGGTTCCCAAATTAAGACCAAAAAACATCCCATCACTGGAATTTTGTCTGCCTTCTCCCAGAATTAGGTTTTCCCTGCTCTAGTGACAGAGCTTTGCTAAGGTTGTTCAGCTTTGCAGAGAGATCTCAAAATTCATCCATCCAGGACAAACTCAGGGGCAAAAAAGAGGAAGAAAAATCTCACCTTCAGCCTTTTGTTTTGGAGGAGCAGCACAGGGAGATCCCAGCCCAGAGCTCTCCTCTTACCCCTTCATTTGTATAGAGGGTTTGTGTGGAGAACAGAGGAACTGTAATGCCAAAAGTGATGAATGGCATCTACCAAGTTTTTTATTGAGGCTGCAATATTGACCTATATCTGCTTTACAAAGGTGAAAAAACATGGATAGCTGTGTGGGTTGAGCAGGAGCATCTTCCTGCTGCCAGCTGGCAAACAGCTTGGGGATTACAGCATGAGGATTAATAGCCTTTGTCATTTGTAAGTGCAGATGCTAACCTTACTCATATGACAGACTGATCTTTGGATTCTGTGCCTGTTTGCTGTTCCAGAAAGATGACCTTGGGCTGCTGTGAGAAACAAAATATTTACACATTCATTTCTTAGGGCCCACAGCGTAGGCTGCAGGGAGACACAAGCTCACTCTGCACTGAATAAAAAATCTGTGTGTGCCTCCAGCAGAGCTGGAGCTCAAGAGTCAGGCAGAGAAACTGGATTTCAGCTCAGGCTTGATGCTACTGCAGCCTGGCTGTGCTGCTTTCTGGAGTGAGGAGTGAGCAAATTCCAGCTCTCAGCAGCACAAGCACACCAAGAGCCTTTCCCTCCTGCTCTATCCCCACCACCACCTTCCCACCACTGCCTGGGGTTTTCATTTCTTGCATGACAGCTTCTTAAATCCTCACCAGACCCCAAATAAACACCCAGACCAGCTCTGTGGAATTATCTTGGATGCCTTTCCAAGCTTTAGGATCTGTCATCTTCTGGCTGCTTGTATCACAGAAGCAGATGAGCTCAGAGCCAGCACTGCTTCCTGGGAGATGAGAATGTATTTGTTGGGGTATCACATGCTGGAGGGAAAAACCTGCCTCATTCAAAGTGTGAGCTTCTCTACAAACCCTGGCTGCTTTGTTTCTTCCCCTCAACCCCTAGCTGCAAACATCACACTTAGCACATTTTAAATGGAAAGAGGATGCTCCTGCATACTAATTCCTGCAGGCTCTGTTGTCCTTTTGCAGAGCACAATGCCCATGAGAGAAGGAAGAAAGCAAATACAAACCTGGATCTTTCTTCTGTCATTAACTTGGAGGTGAGCAGGTGTCACTCTGTAAATATTTAAGTGTCACAGCTCAACCAACAAACTTCAAACTCCACAAGTGGACAAGAGAGTAGGAAGGCAAGGTCTTGATAGGAACATCACAATTTTGGGATGGGATAATATGATGGGGAAGGCCATATTCTTTGCTCAGCCTTTCAGTCCAGTTTTCATGCTGAAGGGCAGAAGGCACGAGAGATGAGAGAGAGAGGCAGAGAGATGAAGTGCTGTGATCACACAGATTAAAAATGATTATAAATATGGGAGTGGAAAGCAAGCACTGCAGGCACGCCAGCTCCAAGGTCACTGCCAGCTCCAGCTGAAGGGGAAAATGAAATGCCACCAGAGGAAAAGCCTGCTCCTCTGCCAAGCTGCCACCTTCAGCTTTATGCTGGGAAAATGATCAATAGCAGCTGGCGGCCTTTGGATCTGTGCATCCAGGAACTTCTAAGGCCATCCATGACTGAAGATCAGTCGGCTGTGTAAAGCACCAAATAACTCCTCGGGATCTGCAGCTGCTAAAAATACACCCCAGCATTGTCCACCTACCCGGGAGCTGCACAGCCCTCACTGCCCCTGGAGGGAAAGGAGACAAGGCAGAGCAACAGGAACAGGCAGGCCACAGCGGGGTCCAGCTAATTAAAGACATTGGCAAAAAGGAAACCCAGACAAATCAAAGGATGTGGAAGATCATCCAGATAAAGCCTTTGCAAATGGGCACTTCACAAAGTGAGCAGCGATTGCTGCAGCTCAGTGGGCTAAAAAAGGAGCTCATTTCTGTGGGCATCAGCTGAAGATCACCGTTATTATGGGGAGTAGAGACACGGTGAGATCACTCTGTTCTGTTGTCAATAAACATTAAAAAGGAAAAAAGAAAATAGCAGCAGAGAGCTTGGCAGGACGGGGGCATGGTGGTTGGGGAGAGAACAAGGAAAGAACAGGCTGCAATCAGCTGAACAATGCTGCTCAAGATACAGAGATGGATCCAGGGCACTTGCCCATAATACCCTGGGCCAATGCAGTTATTCCCTTTCCACATTTTCAAGCCTCTTTTTTTTTTTTTTTAAGAAAATTCAAATAAACTATACAGAGATTACAAACAGTGGTGCCAAAAGGGAACAAATTATCTTAGAAAACATGAATGCATTAGGAAACATCCATACTCTAGACCTGTAAGTTCCAAAGCATCCCAGAACCACCCTGGAAGGGTTATCCATTCCTATCCTGCTCCCTGAAATCCCCATGGCCTCCTCAGAGCTGTTCTCCCCACCTGGAACCCCACAAGAGCAGAGAGCATCAGCATCCAGAGGAGCACAGGGTCTACAGCCTACCTGCAAGTCAAGTGGCAGTCAGGATTCCCAAGGAATGGAAAACCTCCTGGAAATCCAGCCTTGTCAGCCACTTCCAGAGGAAACAAGGGGTTAAAGCAGTGACTAAAAGGGCAGTGATGTTTACATAAGAAAGACCATGAGCACAAGCCCAGCCTGTATCAATATTAGCAATGACTAATTCAATCTGTCAATGGGAAGAATTTACAGGAGCTTTGGAATATGCCAGAGCTGCTGCAAAGCTTCCATTTCACAGACAGTCAATAATGGAAGGAAAAATAAACCACAAAAGCAATAAAAATCCCAAAATATAAATAGCAAACATGAGTACCCCCAGCACCTTGTTCACCCCAAGATTCCTAAATTTCTCCCTTGCTTTACTAGGAACATAAGGAACCCCACAAAAGCACTTCTCAAGGCATGGATGTGCCAAGAGGTTTGGCAGTAGCTCTAAAAACCCAATGGTCCCCCTGCCATAGCCGTTGCCCCTTCCCTCCAACATTGTTTGACAAAATATAAGAGTAAGCAAGGATGCAGCAACCTGCTTCCCTTGGACAGCAAAGTTTTAACACATGTTTAGGTATTGACTTACTCTAAGTAAGTCATTTTCACTTGCTTTTCTCTGACTCCAAAATCTCTACAATGAAATTATATATTAAAATTCAATTCCCTTAATGCTATATCTTCAGAAAACATCTTAATGTGAAAACAGCATGGAAGTCCAAACCCAGTGTACCTCATTGTTTTTTTAAATTATCTTTTTCATTAGGTTTTTTTTAATCATGCTGTTATAAATCTGGGTTATCTCCAGTTCACTGCTGATATGTATTATGAACTTACACTTTTTCCTTAGCTAATCATGAAGCATAGGCAAGGCTTTGCAGGTTCAAGAAGTTCTGAAGAGAATCTCAGTAAGTTTATTACACCCACACATTCCAGGTAATAAAAATTAATTATAAACACTTGCATATCCATTTTATGCAGTTCAGGACAAAAAATATGTAGAGATTGGAAAATAACTAGAATCAGCCTTTTGAATTGGTCTGTTTCCTCTACTTTTTTAATTTTCCCCAGCAGAAAAGTGTATGATAAATGAAATTCTATTCTGCTGATTATCACTCAGATGTTCACTTTTCTTGCATTGCTAATACAGCAGCTTTAACAGTGCAGTCAAGAACACATTTGCTCGATGAGCTGCATTTGGGTTAAATCCTGTTTTGTGTTTCAAAGCCCCAGTAATGCAAAGCAGACATGCCAGCTTATCTAGACAGTGGAGGAAAACCCTCCTGCATAGGATACCCAGCAGTCTCTCTGGAAAAATGATGCTCAGACAGGTGATAAGAAGGTACAAGAGTGTGTTCTGTAGAATAGCTTGTATCACCTGTAGCAGAAGTGCTTCTCTGTGCAGATTATTCTGTCTGCCTCCTTGGCCAGACAGAGCCTCTGTGACACCAAGTGATAACCTGTGAGTGCCCTCAGGGCCTGTCTAGCCTGGATGTGACAAAAACCAGCACCAAGGACCAATTTTGGTCAAACAGCCAGTGCCAAAATTTGCATTAGTTAGATTTGCACAGCACCATTGAAGCAAAGGAAGTGGCTGTGGTGCAGGAGGAGGCAGAATTTGGTGCCAGGTCTCTGTAAATGGCAAAAACAAACCATGAAGTGACTCAGTACAGACAAAGCTCTTCAGCAAAATATTTCCTGTGTCTTGCTGTCATCAGCAGGAATGGAGGAAAGACAGTCCTCTCCTAGAGAGTGTGGGGAATGGGAGATTGGGCAGCTGATAGCATTTGGAGATCTCAGCACCTCACTGCCTACATTCCACTGAGGAGGAACACTCTCCTTTGTGTCACACACAGCACTGCAACAACAACCACTTAGCCAAGCAGCAGACTGAGACACATCCTCCATCCATCATCTCCATGACTTCAGCTCCCAGAGACAGGAAAAGAGATTAAAATGGAAAAGGACAGTGCAGTCTGAAAAGTCACCACGTGACAGTGTCATCACCTCATCCAGCAAGGCTGCTCCTGGCTTTGCTCTCAGCTGGAGGCAGGAAGCACAATTCTTTTCAGCAGAGCCAGCAGCCCCTCTGGATCCCATTCCTGGTCTGCAAGAGAGCTCCTTCCCCAGGTTAGGTGACATGATCTGGCATCCTCTGCTGCTCAGCATGCCAGAACCAGTCCCCTTCCATATCCCAAGGAGATATTACAGGAGATTTGAAGAAGAGCCCTCAGCAAACTGAGTAGTGCTTTGCTGAACCAGAGAAAAACCACAGGTCTGAAGCCCTCTCCTCTAATGCTCACAGAAATGCTTTTGTGAATGAACCTCACTTCTAAAAATCACATTAACACATGGGCAAAACAATGCAGAAAGGAGTGATTCAGGCACAAAGGTGGCTGTGCAGTTTGTTCTGGTCTTTTTTTGGTATTTGTGATGACAGAAGCCATAACTTCAAGTAAACATCTAAACATGCATTGTATTATGCAATATAAAACTGATGCTTGTTATCTCTTGTGCAAACCTATGTGAATGCAGGCTAACAGGTGCACAGGGTGCCTAATTAAAAATACCAGTAGTATTTAGTCCTTATATCAATTGTTAGTACAGGAGAACAGTAGGAATGTCTAGGCACTTAAAAGTTAACAGAGAATTCAAGAGTGCTTTCTCATGCTGCCTGAAAAATATATCATCCAGTCCACAGTGGTATCAAATGCTTTTTTCTAGGACTTAGAAACACGATAATAAAAGGGAGAGGATGTGATCTGCATGCAGGTTAGCTTTTCTGTGAGCTATCTGCGTGGCAAGAATATTTGCAAACTTCATTATTACAAATAAGGGAAAAGGGGGAAGTGAGAGTTTACCCCAGAAGAAAACAGCATCACATCAGAATCAGTCTGTGGTGATTAAGCCTATAGAAAAATGAGCAAGACAATGTCCAAGGAACGGATTTTCCAAGTATTCCCACTGCTTCTCACTAGGGTTATGTCAATGTAGAAAATGCAGGGCAAGCTGGTAAGGCAAGAACTAAACTTGCTTCCCAGGCCTTGCCACATCTGATGCCCACAGCTGCTGGCACTGAGGGGGCAGGTTAAAGCTGTGTGCCCTGCCAGAGCTGGATTCTGCTGGCAGAGAGCAAGGAGAGACAGCCCTTGGTGCCCACTAGGACTCCAGCAGCATGTGCCACCTGCAGACCTGTGTCCCCTGTGCCTCCCTCATCTCCTGCCAGTGGCTCTGCTCCTCCTCCCCGCTGCTGCTGTGGCCCAGCGAGATCCAGCCCAGCATCTCCTTGCGCTTCAGGCCGCGCCTGCTGTAGATGGAGATCAGCAGGGTGACCTCAGAGAGCTGGAAGAGGGCGACCTGTAGTGGGAAAGATGAAACAGGAAAGCCTTATGAATATGATAGTCTGGAAAAAGATTTTGAGAATATGGAAACAATAAGCGAGATTGAAAAGAAAGCAAGCTTTGAGATACCTCAGTTACTGAACAACTGGAAAACAATGGTGTGGCCAGCTGGAGGTGATCCCCTTTTTATGGAACAACACCCTCTGCTTGCAGACAGGCCCAAAGGGCAGAGCAGACCCTGCCAGCTTGGCAGAAGGGATCCAAAGAGTGGTTTTTACGGTTTAAAACTTAGCACAGTACAGTAATGTAATGATTTTTATAGGCTGTATGTAAACACTATAGTATTTGAATATTGTACTGTCACTGATATATTTTATGAAAAATAGTTTTTCTAGGATTTTTCTCCTGAGAAGCTGAGAGTCCTCAGAAATGAGATGTAAACAATAATTATCTGCTGCTGTGGAATGCAACAGGTGCATCTTTGATTGGTCTCATGTGGTTATCATTAATTAATGGCCAATCACAGTCCAGCTGGCTCAGACTCTCTGGTCAGTTACAAGATTTTATTATCATTCCTTTCCTTTCTAGCTTTCTGATTAAATCCTTTCCTCTATTCTTTTAGTATAGTTTTGACATATTATTTTCTTTTAATATAATATATATCATAAACTAATAAATCTGCCTTCTGAAACACGGGGTCAAGATTCTCATCTCTTCCCTCGTCCTGGGACCCCTGCAAACACCACCACATCATACTGGATTGGTTAGTGACAGTTAGAATATTCAACATACAAGAAAATTTATTGTATTGTAACAGGAACCTTGCTCTCTGATCCTCTCTTTTACTCTTTCATCCTCTTTTCCATGCTCTTGCCTTCTCTCTCTGTACCACTTCTCTTTCCCTCTCTCGGGCCTGCTCTGAGCTGTGGCTGGCAGCTCCAAGCAGGGCCCCTGCACCCAGGCCCTTTGCAGTAAACCACAATTTCCATGACCTGGCTGCAGAGATCTCTCATCTCCATCTGTCCCAACCCTCCTACCCCCTGTTGCTCCTACAGACCTGGAAGATGAAAGTCTCCTTGTAGACAGGGTTGGGCTGTGCCCGGCGGATCGAGGTCTTGCAGCGAGACATCTCCTGACCCACCGAGTTGCGCAGGCAGAGCTTCCCATAGGTGTCTAAGACAAAAAAATAAAAGAGTGAATTACATGTTTGGGGCAGGTGAGAGGCTGAATGAAAGTCCCAGGCAGTCAAAAAACACCCCCAAAAACCATCCAAGCAGAGCAGTTTAGTCTGCAGTGAACAGCAGATGAGGGCTGGATGGCGCTCATGGTAAAATCCATGGGATGAGAAGCAGAAGATGAAAGCACCTTTGGGATTTTCTCATATTCAGCTGAGGAGAAAAGAAAACTGATGCATGTTTCAGCCCCACTTTGTTGCAGCATATATCACAGTGAGACAGGCATAATACACAGAACATCACCATACAATTTCAGAAGGCTTAAAGCATTCCCCCAAACAGAATAACACCGTACCACATGAGAAGGCTTCAAGCATCTGCCCATACAGAATAACATCATATCACTTCAGAAGGCTACAAGCATCTTCCCTTCTTCTTTAGCCCAACATTTTATCCCCTCCTGTTCATGCATTGCACCTGTGTGCCCTCTGTCCCCTTGGGAGGTTGGTCAGCACACCTGGGCATTTCATGGCTCATTGCTGTCAGTGCTGCTCACCTGCTGCACACAGCTGCACCCACTGGGAATGAGGCTGAGCCACAGTTCCACTCCCAATTACCACAACCTTTGTACCTACACCATCCTCTTGGAAAGAACAGGATATCAGGTACCCAGTCCTAGCAAACCTGTCTAACCAAAACCATGAGCATCTCTATGGATTCTCCACTTCAAATGGTGTCTCCACCTTCCCTTCCTCTCCCTCACAATCAAGCTTCACTGGGGCTATCTTACCCAGGCTTTCCTCAGCTGCCCTTGCCTCTCCACCACTATCTATTTTTTGGGATACTAGAAAATAAGGGTCTTGAAAAAGAGGGAAAAGCACCCTGCAGAAACAGTGAAATTATTTGATCTCCCATAATTAGTTTTCCAAAATCTCATATTACTTTTTTGGTAGACCCAAAGTGAATTTTATTTACAATTTAAGTCCATACAAGGAGTAAAACATGCTTAGCAAATACAAGGAAGGGATGGTCCAATTTAGTGCTGCTGTAAATCTACTCTTTAAATTCCTGCTGTCTCCTGTATTAATCAGTTCTCCTATATTACATGGTTGCTAATACTGTGGTGTCAGAGCTCCCAGAGCTCCACAGACCCAGCTCAGTGTAAGTTTTCACCTCGCTCTGCACATGACAGTGACAGATTTCTTGGCTAGACAAGTCCTCTGCTAACCTCTTCATAATCTGTGCCTGGGTTCCTGCAAGTGAGTATTATTTCAGAGTGTGCTGAAGATGGGAAATAAATAACAAGCCTCCATCTCTTGTCTGCAGCATTTCTACCCTCTCCTGTTCCCGTTTGATGTGCTATTTTACGCACTTATCTGCTGAGCAACACAAGGTGTGAAATTGCACTTCAGGTGTGAAAACACTTCCACGTCTCCAAAGCAGGGCTTCCCGCTCCTCTCAAACTGTTCCCCTGAAAAAGCTGTCAGGAGGCTGACAATCAGGGAGCAAATTGTGAGCCTGCACAGCTGTACAGCTATCGAGTTACTGCGGGGAAAGTTCAGCCCAGTCATTAGCTGGGGGTGCCAGCTTGGCTCCCAGCACAGCGCTGGGGATGGAGAGGATCTTGCCAGCAGAGACCAACTTGTCACACAGAAAGGGAAAGCTCTGATTCAATTTCCTGATTGTGTCTGGGAAGGAAAAAACCCACTTTACTGAAAGGTGTAATTTCCACTAATTTCCACTGTAATATTCAGTGTTGAGGGGCTGAAATCTGTGACAACTTCAGGCTCATCAGGAACACAAAGCCCGAGAGAGGACCCTCTGTTCCAGCTTGACTCAATGTGAAAGCAGACACAACTCCTACAGTATTTGTAGGGATGTCACTGTACTTGGCACTGACAAACCACAATGTGCACTGAAGCATTCCTCATGTGGAAGTCCTGGCTGCTGGTCTAGACTGCAGGCAGCTCCCTGAAAATAAAGATAAGTAGGGGTTTTATGGGTTGCTTTTTTTTAATGTATTCATCGGGGGTTTTTTTTGTTTTTTTCTGAGAAGGGGGTTTTGAAATTTTGGAAGACTCCACCAGGCTGATTTTTAAATACAAACAAGCAGGTAATTAGTACAATTCTCTGTTTGAACTTCAAAATTTTTCTTTCTTTTCACAACTAACCCAGCATTACCTTCCAGTGCTATTTTAGGGAAAGGTGTCCCACACATGCCTGCATCTCTTTTTCTAAGAAGACAGGGAAAGCACTGAGGTCTAGATTTTACTTTTAGTATGCCTTGCTGTCATACTTCCTTCTGACTTTCACCAGTTCTGGCAGCTCAGGTGGGATTCATCACACCTGACTGCAGGCACATCCATCTGAACAATGTCCAAAGGAGTCAACCAATTCATAATCCAAGAAGCAGATGCCATAATTCAGCACAGATCTAGCAGACAGTGATACCAGTGTAGATGATTTAGGTGTTAACACTAAAGCAAGTGCCACAGCTAAAGCACCTCATGGGATACTGTTTCAGCATGTCCCAGTTAATTTTGCAGGCAATGAATGGATGAGAGTCATACAGCCATAAACTCCAGGATGTCACATCCCTGACTGAGGCCTCAACTTCTGCAAGTGAGGGACAACACAGCTGGCCTTGAGGAAGAATGACCAGCACACCACCAATGAGTTAAAGTCACAAAAGTTGGCTTTTTCTTTAATATATGTCAGATTTCTACATAATTCTGCACCAAGACCCCATCTGTTCAGTACCAAGGTGGGTGGGGATTCTGCATGCATCCTCTGGATCAGGCTGTACTCAAGGCAGAGCTAATACCAGGAGCCCTATTCACCCGCAAGAAAACACAGGCACAAAGCCAGTGCAAGTCACAACTAAATCAGGCTGCAAATTCTCCTCAAGTTTATTCCACTGGGTGTATTTTACCAGCCAAACGAATCAAGCTTGCCTGAACAGAAATAAAAGAGTAGGTGTGGATCATATATTTAGCATCTGAAATTTGCTTTGCAGAGTTGGTACATATGAGGCTGAGCTGTTATTCCGCTTCACTAACTAAATTTTAAGATTGTAGTTTTCCCTTCCTGCATTGTGCTCTTTGCAGCTTCTTTTTGGGTATCACATCAGAAAACACAGCTTTTTTTGTGATCCACTCTGGTCCTCTGGGGTGGACTTTGCCAAAGAAAATCCATCCCCAGTTACACAGTGAAATTAGTGTAGCTACAGCAAGGATGAACTTGACGATTTACTGAGGAATGTATATGTAAGAGCATCTATTCATTATGAAGGCAAACATTTTCCACCTAATTACATGCTCAGGTTCAGTAATGGCCTCATTACCGTGTGTCTCAGCACTCTGTGCTCTTCACAGTGTTTACTTTTGTGCCACCTCCATCAGGCACAAAAGGAAAAGAGATTAGGGCTGACACTTTAAAATGCCTAAGTGCTCACCTTCGGCTTAGGCACCCGTCTCACTGACACGTGAGGAAGAGTGAGACCTCTAAATATCTGGGAGTGTCTGAGACTGCAGCTTGCCCACGGTTACACAGAAGTCTCTGTGAAGATTCAAGAACAAAGTCTAATTCTGCCAAGATCAATTTTAGCATGGCATCTACCAGGCTCTCCTTTCCATGCAGGTTTTGGGAGAGAAGTTCTTGCTGCATTCGGAGCATTTTTGCTCTGAACTCATCTTGCCTCTCTGGTATGAGTGGACTGCACAATGTCCACATATACATAAAATACCAACATCTCAGCATTTAATACCAGACTGAAAAGCACTAAATCAAGGAATGCTGCAATTAGCCAGACACATTTTGGGCTAGTGCTGCATCTTCTTACTCCAGAGGGTTGGGCAAACCTCTCCTCTGTCTCCATCAACCATCAAACACCTCTGGAGAGCTCATCTGCAAAGGCAATCAGTTTTTCCAGGATTCTTCTAATGACCCATTTCTGTCATGATTCTTCTGAGGGAACTAACTGATAATGACAACTCAGGGGAATAATCAACTGTAATTTATGCATTCCTGTTTTTGGAGCAGGGACCATAGCGAGCAGCGTTCTTCTTTCACTTACACTAAGCACCACCATTATTATTAGTAAAGCTGACCCATGAGCAAGAGCACTGCAAATACAAAAGCATCCAACCCCCCTGCTTGAATTTATATTTAGAAAGGAAGTAAACAACCAAAGACTCCTGACCCCTCACGTCTGAGGACTGCAGGGCACCGCGCAGCGCCGTGCGGACTTTCCCACCCGCGCTCCAGGCGAGCCAGCTCATTTCCAAAAGCAGGATAACCATGTCAGCATGCTGCAATCCAGACTAATAACAGCCACAGCAGAAGAAAGCCTTGGGCCTGGAGCTTAATTTCCCCCAGCTGGCAAGCCCACGCTCCCAGCCTACATAATGAACAGCAGCACTGCGTGGCAGTGCAGCCCCAGAGCTCCACTGTGTGCTGCTCTGTACAGGCAGCCCCATGTGAGCTCTCAGTCTGAGGCCCACAAGACCATTAGTGCTGCCTTTGCCTCCCCTTTCAACCAGCAGTGGGGCAGAACACTCACACTCTGAGCCGGGCTCAAGGCAGCTGGATCAGTAAAATAGCAGGGAGGAGGATTAGACCTGAGCTTTTGATCCCAACCCACATCATGAAAGTCTGGATTAAGGCAGTTTATGGCCTACTGTATAAATCATACAAGGGCTGAGAGCTGCCTACTACGTTGCTGAGAAGCCAACTTTCCTTTCCCTGTTCCACCAAGCTTCTTCTCAGGTTCCCTCTCCCGGGGCTGGCAGCTCTCTCACAAGGGAGAGGCTGGGAGCTGGCAACCTTCACAACATGTGAGTCATCAGAGAACAGACCAGCAGTGCCTTTAATTTAAAATGCAGCAGAAAAGAATGCCCTGGTCCCTGGAAGCACTGTTTGGTCTGAGAGGAGGGAATTGCCGGCAGCAGTGGCATGCAAGAGGAGCAGATGAGGGCTTCCCTGGAAGGAACTGCACAG